TTTCCCTTGGGTTTTGTCCGCTAGCAGAACACCATAGCGCGTGGAGCGTGTTAGCCTGCCTGTCGCGCAGGCTGGGGGAGCGTGGCACTGCTCTTCCAAAGCAGGTATGCAGCTCAAGGTGCTCTCTGTTCTCTGGAAACGTGAGAAAGTGAGGAAGTTGCAGAGTCGGGGAATGGCTTCCTAATCAGTGAGCCCCTTTGCCCTGTTTCAGGCCATGTTTGGCTGTTGTTTTTAAGCAGATACTGTTTTTTTCCCACCTTAGGGGGTTTTGCTGCAGTCCCGGCAAATTCCGAAGTTTCTCTTTTCATAGCCGAGACAGAGAAGGATCAGAAGCTGATGATTTTCTTTGTGTGCGTGTTCTTTTTCAGACACTAGAGAACATGCTGACCTCTGTGAGGAAGGGAAAAAAGATCGACGAGGAGGAAATCCCACCACCGGTGGCTCTGGGGAAGAGTGTGAGCTCCCAGCAGCCCTCTCCTTCTGCAGCGGTGTCACCCCTCCATGGCTCTGTGCCCGCCTCAAGCCCTGGCTCACCCCCGCCTCCTGTGCAGCCGCCTGTTGTCTCTCCTCCCAAACCCCTGCCCACGTTGCAGCCGCCTCCTGTGCTCCCAAAGCCTCAGGTCTTGCCCAGCCCCGCTTTGCCCACCAGCTCTGCAGAGAAAAAAGCACTTTCTCCCTCACTGTCTCCACATCCAGGTGAGGCCTTGGCTTGTTCTGCTTCGTGGTGGGTCGCTATATCCTGCTGCTGAGGAGGGAAACCCTCCCGAAGCCCAGCGACTCTCCTCTCTGCCTCCCCAGGTTCCGGCCGGGCCAGCACTGAGGCTCTGCTGCAAGGCCGGCAGCGGGAGTACAAGCTCGCAGCCCTGCACGCGAAACAGCAGGGAAACGTGGAGATGGCCACGAAGTACTTCCGCGTCGCTAAGGTGTGTGGCGCCTCTCTGGGCGGCCAGAGAGGCCTGAATTTCTCCTGCCTATGAAATATTAAGCAAACTGCCGCCTTTCTTGGTGTCTGTAGTAAAACAAGGGTAAATCTGGCTGGCAGGGGCTGTCTGCAAAGCATGTCATGAAATGTCTATTTGAAAAAAAGTGAGAACTGTGATCTTTCTCTGGTGCTTTTTCAGAGCTTTGACTCCCTGTTAGAAGCTTTGGGGAAGGGCCAGCCGGTGGATCCGAGCAGCGTGCCCCCTCCTCCCGGTAAGGAGGGAAAGGTCGCTGAAGAGCAACGCCTTGTCCAGCTGGGGCCTGCCCTGCCTGGAAGGACTGACGCTTTGGCTGGAGACCCCTCTGGAAGGGGGGCTTCCAGGTCCGGCTCCCTGCTTGCCTCTCGCCTTTTGGCGTGCCTGGGGAAGGGCAGCCGTTTCCAAGTTTGGAAGGTGCCAGCAAACCGCAGGGGCGTTGCTGCATGATACCGCCTGCGCCGGGCTCCTTCCAAAAAGCCGCTCACGCTCAGCGGGGCGACACTCTAATGTACCTGTTTCCTAGTGAATATCTCGCTGCTTGTTTGTGGACTGATCGATTCCTCCCTTTCCCCAGACCAGCTGTCTAAGGAGCTGCTGTCGCCCGGCCGGCAGCAATCTGCTGCACCAACGCCAGCAGTCGTGCCCGAAGCGAAACCAGCCTCTCCTGCAGCAGGTACGAGCCCAGGAAGCTACATCGATTCTCTAAGCTCTAGCTGCCCACTGAGGAAAGAGAAGTTAGAGAGAGACATAACTGAACCGTTTCTCCCGGTCTCGCTGGAACAGACATTCCTCCTCCCCCTCGGGACATGCTGGAAGCTCTGCAGCAGAGAATGGAGAGGTACAAAACGGCAGCGGCGCAGGCCAAGAGCAAAGGGGACGATCGGAAGGCCAGAATGCACGAGCGCATTGTAAAGGTGAGGGCACCGTGCGCTCCGGATGCCCGGCCCGGGGCTGTTTCCCTCGGCAAGGTGCTGCCTGTATGCGTGCCACGAGAGCAGCGGTTCTCAGGCTTGGCTTTCTCTTTCAGCAATACCAAGATGCCATCCGGGCTCACAAAGCAGGGAAAACGGTGGATTTCTCAGAGCTGCCCATTCCGCCAGGTATTTTCCCAGTCTGTTCTGCAGCCCATCTGGAATGGCAGCAGGCACTTTTTGGGTCTGTTTTTAAAAAACCGTGCGTGTGTCAGAGAAGAAGATTTGATCCAAAATTCAACCTGGACTAACTGATCGTGGACTCCCGCAGGCGGGGAGCGCCTTCCTGACACAACCCGGCTTCCCCGCTTTCATTTTGCTTCCCCTTTGCCAGGCTTCCAGCCCATCCAGGGTGTGGAGACACCATCTGGAGACCAAAGCATTGTGGGAGTGCTGGAGACAGCCATGAAACTGGCCAACCAGGAGGTCCAAGAGAACGAGGAGGAAGCCGAGCCCGAGGAGACGAAGAAGGTTGGGTTTTGAGGGCTGGGCAGCCCCTGGACCCCGCCTCCCACTGCCATAGAAACCAAAAATTGGGGATGGGAGAAGGCTCTGGAGAGGTCATCTGCCCACACAGTGTCCACTGGGTGGAGGTTACCCTGTTCTTCCTGTTTGCAGCTTTCTCTGACGCCTTCTCTGCCTGTTTTTGGCTGCAGCCTGCTCCCCGCCCTGCTCCGACGAAAACAGCCGTCTCCTCCCAGCCCAAGCAGCAGCCTCAGCAGCCCCCGCGAGCATCCTCGACGGGCGCCCCCTCGGCAGCACATTCTGCAGGAGTGGCCAAACCAGCCCCCAAAGCCACCACGAAAGGTACCCGGCTCCCCAGCTCGAAGCCCTGCTCCGTCCCTGAGGAGGCTGGAGCAGCTGGGATGCTCTGAGCTGGGTGTGAAAACGTGGCCTCTGAGCGCGGGCAGCGAGAGAACGGGGGTGACTTGCCCTAGGAAAGAGAACTGGGAGGTGTGAGAGAGAGCAACCCTCAAATGTGCGGAGGAGCCCTTCGCAGACGGAGGGATTGGACAGGAAATCGTAAGGGAGATTTCAGGGGGAGCTTCCTAACGGGAAGGGAAGGCAAATGCTGAGATAATTTGCCGAGGGAAGTTGGACGCCCTGTTACTGGAGCTTCTGAGAGCAGGATGTACCAGCACCTGGCTGTGTTTTAATGAGCTGATCCCTGCTTTGGGCCGGCTGGGACCTGTGCCACCTCCCAGAGCCTGGGACAGGCTGCAGAAAACAGCCCAGGCTGAGAACCTGGTGGGAGTTTCGGGGTGCATCTGATCTGAGCAACCTCGTTTTAAGAATCCCTTTCCCTGTTTGAGGGGTTTTAGAATTGTGCCAGCTCCGGCACAGCTCTCATCAGCCGGGGTCAGTCAGAGCTTTGGTAGCTCAGCTTGCGCTCTGGAGGCCCCGGTTTTACAGCGTCATTTGTGTGCATCCAGTGACCGAGAAGGCATTTAGACGGGAAGGCAGTCTTGGGACTTATCACAAGCCCTAAGCTAGCCTGGCCGAGTCGGCTCTCCCTCTGTTTTTCCTCTCCTCGTGGCCCTTCTCTGATGCTGTGTCCGTATGCCGGTGAGGCTGTGTGGCCAAGGAATACGGGTGGAACAGGCAGGTGCGATGACGCTGTCCCTTAGCAAAGGTCCCTTTAAGCCATTGCAGTCTCTTGGGACCCTCCAGCACCTCTGGCCTTGATCCCAGCTTGAAAGTAGAGGCTTTGGCTGCAAGCAGCGATAGACCTGATATATTTAATAGGGGCTGCTCCAAGCTTTCCCTCCCCTTTGGCGCTCTGCGAGGCAGTGCTAGCTCCAGGCTCCTGCGGCCGCTCGGGATGCTCCTGTCTTTCCCTCTCTCTTGTAGCCCAGCAGCAGCTGGCCTTCCTGGAAGGCAGGAAAAAGCAACTGATGCAGGCCGCGCTCCGAGCCAAGCAGAAGAACGACATCGAGGGGGCAAAGCTGTTCCTTCGCCAGGCCAAAGGGCTCGACCCCATGATAGAGGCGTCGCAGAATGGCCTTCCCGTGGATATAACCAAAGTAAGGTGGTTCCTGCAGCGCCGGTGAGGTGGGACTAGTTCTGCCCCTGGCTGCTGTGTCCATGCAATTCCCAGGACTAATTGCCAATGCTCCTGGGTCCGTGCCAGCTTTTGAGCTGTGGCCCCACACGTGGTGGCCTGGGCTCTTGAGGGTTGGATGCCGAGTCCCTAATCGGGGACGCGCTGTTGCGTGGTTGCATCTGAGCTGTTGCTCCCCTTATGCTGGACTTGGAAGCACTCACATCTCCGCCAGCGCTGGGAGAGCTCCAGTACTGACTCGCTGTGCGGCACTGGATAAATTCTTTCCTCTTTGGGTGCCTGTTTCTCACATCTTATGATGTGGGTAGGTGGTTCTGGGTAGGTGAGAAGCTTTCCTCTTGTCGCTGCAGATGGATCCGATGCCTTTCTTCCCTTCCAGGTCCCTGAAGCCCCGGTGAACAAGGAAGACTTTGTGCTGGTGCAGCGCCGGGGGGTTAACATCTCCCCGGAGGCAGCTAGCCAGTACATGGAGCTCATGAAGCTGATCAGGCAGCAGCACGAGGTAGAGGGTGCAGGCCAGCCAAGAGAGGCTGCGCAGGGTTTCCTGGGCTCGTCTTGGGCGTTATTCCCCTCTGCCGAGTGGGGCCCTGAACCAAAGAACTCGCAGCAGGAAAATAGGCTTATTTTGGGCAAACTTGGGGCGAGATTGAGCACCACAGGGGCAGGGCGCAACGTGGGGGCTGTATGAAATGCGGTGCCTCGGGGTGAAGGAAGGGAGACTGGGGCAGCTCTTCCTCACTCTGCATGAGGAGGGAAGGGTAGCAAGGAGGAAGGAAACAAGCGGCTTCCCCTGAGAAGGGGGGAAATTGTGGCTTTAAATCTCGGCATACGGGAGATTAGGCCTGAAGAAGGGTTCTCTGATGGAAAAGGAGGTAGCTCAAGGCTGCTGTAAATCGGTTGGGAAAGCGGTGGGGCCTCCGTTGTCGAAGGTTTCTGAAAATTGGCTGTACAAACATGTCCAGGAAGAGCCAGATCAGGCCGATCCTGTGCTTGAGCTGCAGAGGGGTGAGAGGCTCCTAGGAGCTCTTACAGCTCTGCCCTGTTGTGGCTCCGTGGCAATGCGGCGAGGTCCTGGGGGGATGGCGCTGGACGGCAGGATGTTGTAACCGTCCCCTTTTTGTCTCTGCTGTCCCAGATGTGCATGAGTTACTCCAAGCAGTTCACCCACCTGGGGAACATCGCGGAGACGACCAAGTGAGTGTGCCAGGAGGAGCGCGTGCGCCCCTTTTCCTGGCATCGACTGCTTTGCGTTTGTCCCGCTGCCCTCACAGAGCTGCTTAGAGTGCATCCCGCAGCGCTCCTCCCTGTAGTTTCCATCAGGGAAGCTATGTGCTTTTCCCTTCCTAAATGGAGGCGCGTAGCGTGGCTGCCAATTTCCGCGTTACCAGGGGGCACCGCAGCAAGTTGCTCCTCTTGGTTGTAATGCAGAGCAGATGGATTAACGACCTGATGGCGTTTCTCCCAAACCCGGGGTCCTGGCCAAATTCCAGCATGGGTAATTCCGTTCTGGCTGCCTCGAATTCCCCTGCAGCTCAGCTGGGGAGAGGGTTTCTCGCTGCGCAGGGCAACTGCAGCCTGGAAAGGGCCGCTCTGCTCGGTGGGGCTGCTCAGGCGTAGGGGCTGCTGCTTTAGCTGTTAGGGGCCATTTTTAGCTGAGGGGGAGAGAGATGAGCTAAAACTTGACAACCTTTCCTGGGCCTTAGAGATTCAGCAAGGAAAAAGGCCAACGATACCAAACGCTGTGCCACCTTCTACGCACCGGTGTCAAATCTCTCTTTGCTTTGTGTTGTCTTCCATGGGAATTTCCAAAGCTGTAGTTCTGACTGTGACTTTTCCAGATCCCAGTGCTGGCGGGAGGGGAGGTGTTGCCTCCTGCCCGCTGAGGTGATCTGGATGGGCAGAGGGCAGGATTGATTCCCGAGCCGTGGAAGCCGCTGGGGGAAGGCGCGTGCCTCACCGTGAGAGCGCTGTGGTCCAGGGGAAACCGAGGGCGCTACCGTAGACCGTCAGTTGAAGCTAACCCGGGCGCCACTCCTGCCCTCCCCTCCAGGTTCGAGAAGATGGCTGAGGACTGCAAGCAGAACATGGAGATCTTGAAGCAGGCCCACGCCAGAGGCTTCCCTCTGCCCAAGTACCACTACGAGCAGAGGACCTTCAACATCATCAAGTAGGTTCCCTGACCGAGCATCGCTTCCCGGGGCGCTGAGCGGGGTGAAGGGAAGGCAGGTGATCCATTAAGGGATTCCTCTGCTTTGTCTGTTTGAAGAATCTTTCCTGAACTGAACAGCAACGACATGGTCCTGTCTATAGTGAAGGGGATCAATCTCCCAGCTCCGCCAGGTAAGAGAGGAACAGGTGTTTATCTGCAGAACGGAGGCAAAAAGAGGGCCATTAATGCCAGTTAACCAAACCTGCAGAGACCACCCTAGCTGAGACTGCTCTGCTCGGTCGTATGCTCACCCCGCCAGCCTGGAGGGCTCGTAGCAGCTCTTGAGCCGCAGGCGCTGCGTGACAGCTGTCAGCTGGGGTCGGAGCCAAAGACAACGGCTTGGGATCCTCTTTGTAGCGCAGTGTCAGGGATGAGAGCACCATTGGGGTTTGCCTGCTCCCCCTCGCTGCACCAGGTGCCTGCTGACAACTGTCCTTTTTTTTTTTTTTTTAATTATTTCCTGTTAAAATGCCCCAGAGACAGCTGGGCCTGGTGCCAGCAGTCATTAACGTTTGTTGCTTTCCCCGGCTGTTCCCATACGCAAACCCCGCGGGGAGCGGTGAGGACATGGGTAACGATCGAGCCAAAGTGCCGTTCTGCCAAGCGGACTCCATAAGGAGAAGAACCCAGCTGCCACTGGCTGGCGGCGGGC